TGCCGCTCCCGCCCCCAGCTCAGCCAGTCCACGGCCGCGTTGACTGGTCTGCAAAGTACGGAGCTCACCGGTGACACGTAGAAATGCTCTCCCAGCAGCGCCCATTGCCCACATGGTGACTGACGTGTGACGGTTTTCTGATGTTTTATAGACTTGTAAATTTAAAAGAAACAGATCTTCTACGGTTGAGACCTTTCTGAAGGTTGCTTTGGTTTTGTTTTTTAACTTTTATTTGTGTTGATTTCAATGCAATCTTGTACTTTTTTTTTTTTGTATGAAATTTTGTTATATAATTGGGTCCAATTATTTTCATAAATCTGATACCTTTTGTATATATGGCTTAGGGATCTTGGCATTTTTATATGATAAATTTTTATAACAAACTTTTTTAAATTCTAACTTTTCCTTTCTTGGATTCAACATTTTTATAAAAATGAGTTTAAGAAAAAATAAAGCAAAGCGGTGCAATATTGTGTTGGAAGAGAAGAGCGAGGAAGGGGCATTCATTAGATGTTTTCTAAAGCCTATGTGCTAAGTGAGATTGTTTAATTTCAGTGATGTCATGTCTTGATGCCACACTGCTGCTGCTGTGTACTCGTTTGCTCTGTACATCAAAGGAATGAGCGAGCAGCAGTCCAACCTCTCCTTTACAGCCACTGAGAGACTGCTGGAAGTCCCAAGTCGGTGGGAAGCTTTTCTTTTTTGTATTTATTACTTTAATTTTACAAGGCTTTTGTTGGACTGCTGTCCAGCTTTCCACTCCCATTCTTTTGCTCTTACCAAATCTGGGTAATCTTGTTTCGTAAAGGATAATCAGTAGATTTATTTTCTGACACTGTGTCTGTCATGCTTCAAAATTACCTCTCGGTGTTGTTCACTATCAAATAGAATGTGGACCTACCTCTCTTAAATTTGCTTAAATGTTTCCTAATGACTAATGAGGAGAAACATTGGGTTCTGGTTTTGCTGTTGTTGGGAAGAGAAGATCCAAATACGTATTTAAGGCAGTATTGAGAATTACAAAGCTGGTTTCATAGTGAAAAAGTATTAGTGAGATGCAGGCAGCAGAGTTCAAGGAAACAGTATCTATGCATTTAACTTAATCTTTGTAACTGTTTCAAATGACTTTTGAGGGGAAAAAAATGTAAATTTGGAGCAAATTAATATGTTCAAGCTTCAGTTCTTCTTCATTTCAATGTCTTCACTTGTGATGTGAAGAGTGTGTCAGTTGCTGTAAATTAGGCCCCCAGACTCTACTGGGTAAAAAATGAGGCTTTATGTCAGACTGCTAAAAACCATTCAGTTTGAAGGAGAAAAGGAACAAGAGGGTTCCAGACAAAGGCAGGTTGTTTCTGCACTGGGAAGGAGCGCCGACATTCAGCTATCAGCAAATGGTTCATTTTGATCATAGTATTTGGCTGTTCCTTCACCTCCTTCCACAGAAGATTAGTCCTGTAGCTGAGACAATTACAGTGCTGTGGGAGGACATCCTTCATAGCTGCATTTTGGACAAGCACCTTCAAAGCTGAAATGTACACATCTTCCCACAGAACTGTACAGAAATGGTCAGCTTTTGCGAAACCTCATCTGAACTCATTTTATCAATGGATTGGGCTGAAACTTGTGAGAGCCGGTCTGAAGGGATCAGAGGTATGGTGACATCCGGCTGCTTGGAAGGAGAGAAATGTGCCAGTGGCCCTGCCCCATGGGGGGCAACTGCTGCGGGCTGGAGCCTGGTAGCATGCCCTGGCCTTCTCAGCTCTTTCCATGAGAACACACAGGACTCAGGAAACTGCTCCCCAGAGTAAACTGCTGGCTCAGTGCTGTGGGGAATCAGGAGGGACTCTGGTCACTGTTGGCTTTTGCTGACTGAATCTATAGCGAGTTCACAGGGCAAAAGGACCAGAAGTGTCTATGCATTAAAAAAGCACGTGTGTAAGGCTTGCACATGCCACAGATACGTCCAGCTACGCCAGGCACTTGTCCTTAACATGTGCTAACAGCAAACTGAACATAACAGCTTCTGTAGCAGCAGTGTTAATGCGTAGCAATGACCATTCCAATTCTGTACCACATGCTGGTGTTGTGTTTGGGTAAGTGGAGAGGGAAATATGTATATTTGTGTCAGAAACTGGAAAGATAGTTGTTTCTTTTGGTGGAAATAAATATCTGTATTTATGTCTAGATATCATTTAATTTATTTTTTTGCTGAATAATCAGTTTTAGGGGAAATAGCCTGAACCTGTCCTAAGTATCCCTAGGCCTATGTAGGCAGTTTATGTAGTCTGTTCCATACATTCGATTCCTACAAATGGAAGCACGAGATGAATCATGAGAGCACGCTGCTGAGGCTTGGGCTCATGCTACCTACCCACACGTGCCTGAGCTTCTTCCAAAGCAGGGAGGAGTGAGAATCTCCTCAAGAAATGCAGCTTACCTGAGGACTCCCCTGGAGATGCTCAGGCCTCTCCCTGTTAATGATGGGGACCACTCTACTTGGTCACAGTGATACAGGATGAATATGGACTTGGCCTGTGTATATCTGAACCCCCATCAGCCCAGCCCTGTTTTCTTGGATACGATGTTCAGTCTTGGTCAGTCCAGCAAAAGTATTAGATTTAGTTCTTTTTTTTTTTTTTTTTTTCTTTTGCCACAACTCCTCCTTTCCTGAATAAAAGCCTATATTTTGTGGGGGAAAAAAGCTAATAATCTTGACATTCAGAATGACTTCTGCTACTTTCAGCTTAGTGAGGTGGGAAAACTGCAAAATGTTGGTATATTGATATCACTCTTGTAGCCTTTACTCAAGCAAAGAATGTTGGGGATGTTCTTTTAAGGATTAACCTGATTGAGCAATGTGCAGTGCTGTCTGAGTACAGTGCAGAGGGAAAAGCTGTCAGCCTGTTGGTTATACTGAGAGCTGGACAAGCAGCATAGCAGAGAATTTATCATATGTAGCCTCCTACTTTGTGTTGTAATGTTTAGCAGCATCGTTATGCAAAATGTTGTTGGAATTCTGCAGTTTGCTTGTTCTCAGCATTACGTGTAGAAATGACTGCTGGGAATAAAGGAGCGTGCCAGCGGCCTCATTCACCTCTGCTGTCCAGATCTTCCTAAGTCTTGTGTCAGTGCCACAATATCAGCCACAAAGCCACGGTTCCTGTGGCGTTTCAGTATCTGGTAAGGCTGTTGGTGCCAATGGGATATTTCATAAAGGAGAACGGTTTTGAACTTAGAGGAAGAGCGTGGAATTAAGTATGATTATAAAGAAATAATGGTTCTTGTTTATTCAATGTTTTTGTTCAAAAAGGTTATATATGTTTGTTCCGTTCCTTCTCTGTCAAGTCTCCTGCCCAGAATAAAGTTACTCTTGAAGAAATACTGACTGATGAGAGTCCTTACGTTGTGCTGAGTTTTAACAGCAACGCTTTGGTTTGGCTGCTTTATGGTTACTTAATAAGCCTTCCATTCGGTGCCCTCTCTGGTGGCTGCTGCCTCTGTACCTGCGCTCTTTCTTCAGGTTCCTTGGCCATACGATGCGAGTCTAAGCACGTGATTTCTGCTGTGTTCTGTAAGCTTTTAATCTGTTAGTCTTTGGATGTCAAATCTGAAATTAACTAAAGTGTGGGAGTAGAAGGGAGGGTCAGGCTGGATATCGGGAGCTGGTTCTTCACTGGAAGGCGGTGGGCATGGAACAGGCTGCCAGGGCAGGGGGCACAGCCCTGAGCTGCTCAAGTTCGGGGAGCGTTTGGACAGTGCGCATAGACATTGGGTTTGGATTAGGAGTGTTTCTGTGTGGAGCCAGAAGGTGGACCTGATGTCCTTGTGGGTGCCTTCCAACTCAGGATATTCTCTGATGTCATTAGAGAAATACATCACACCCTGGAAGGAGGACATAACTTGTTCTCTCTGTATTGTGTCAGCTCCTCCTGTTTCTCCCACTCCTTTCCAGGCAGTAGAAGCCGATTGGTAACTTTTAACCCCAACTGTTTTCCTGCAATTTCAGTGGCTTGGAATTGATTGTACAGGGGAAGAACCAGATGTGAGATCAAGAAGTGAGGAATGCATGCAGAAGTGCGGCAGCTCTGGGTAGTGAGTGGTGTGTGCATAAGAGAACGAAGGAGCTCAGAGATTTGGGAGGCAGCAGTGGGAGAGTGAACGAGCAGCGCAAGTTGTTCCTCGTGCTGGGACCGAATAGGGAAAAGTAGAGGGACAAACAGAACGACGAACGCCTGGAACCCGTGGGGCTGGGCACAAAACAATGGCAGACTGCCCCATGCAGTGCCTCACTTGGATGTGTCTGCAGTCTTGGAAGCTTGACTACCCTACGTTCTCCTACAAATGGACCTTGAGCTTGTTTGGAGGTTCTAGCAGGGGAGCGCAGCTACCGTATACCCTTGACCGATGAACGGTACCGTCTCTATCGGGGAAGGTCGTCCTCTTCGACCGAGCGCGCAGCTTCGGGAGGGACGCACATGGAGCGGTGAGGGAGGAAGGGGACACCCGCCTAGCCAGCCAGATCAGCCGAATCAACCCTGGCGATCAATGGGGTGACAGATGTCGCAGCCAGATCGCCCTCACATCCAGAGCTACAAGCAGCCACAAGCGATATATAAGGACCAATACTGTAATGTCTTCCAGATCATGGTGACGCACGGTGGGTCTGAAAGTTCCAGGAAACGGGCGGCAGAAGCACCTCTCAGCGCTGTTTCAGATCTAAACGCTTTTGCTCTAGAATACTCGGCGCACGTTAACATTCTTTCTCGCTTTGCATTCCACCCAGCAGGCTTTGCGCGTTATGCAAAGCAGAGCCTTCCCACTGGCGGGCTGCGGGGGGCCGTGCCGGCCGCCCTGCCTCGGGGGGCGGCACCGGGAGGGCTTGGAGCGCTCGCCCCGCGCTCTGCGTGACATTGAGACTCTCGCGGCCGCGCGCTCCGAACCCACCGGCTCCTGGGCAGCGACCTGCGGCGGGGGTACGTGCGACCCCGGCCCTGCGAGGGGGGGGGGTGTGCAGGGCGTCGGGCAGGGAGCGGCTCTCGGGGAGCGTGTCGAGCCGGGACTGAAAACGGCTTCCCGTGCTCGTGTGCGGGTGTTTCTGGTGCTCTGACTCAAGGGTGGCCCGGCTTGGAAAGCCTCTGTGAACCGTTATGTCGCTTTGGTGGAAACGTGGCTGTTAGCGGCGATGGACTGAGTAACTGTGCTGAAAGTCACGTTGGTGAGGCCAGCGCGGGCTGCCCGGGGAGCGGCGGGGTCACCGTCACAGGAGGTGTTCCAGAAAGGTTTCGGTGTGGTACTGGGGACATGGTTGGTGGGGATGTGTTGGTGGCGGGTGGATGGCTGGACAGGGTGATCTGGGAGGTCTTTCCCAACCTTACCTTGGTGATTCTGTGATTCTGTTATTCTACGATTTTCCAGCCTCAATGACTCTATGGCTCTGTTAACACCTGCTGATGCACTCAAGTGGCAACTCTTGCTATCTCCTGCTTAGCATCTGATGCTTCCTTTTTCAAGGTTTGGGGGGAACTGCGACCATGCCACAATAAAACCAAGTCTGTACAGACAGCAGCTTTGCTGAAATGTTTTGTCTGAAATTGACCCAATTTTCTGTCCTGTGGGTGACTTGTGAACCAGTATCCCAAGAGCCATCCATTTTTTGAATCATTTATTAACAGATTTCTTTTCCGTTTTTAGGTGAAGGAAGTCTGAAGCCATGGCTGCAAAACCTGTACTCTACTACTTTGATGGAAGAGGCAAAATGGAGTCGATCCGCTGGCTGCTGGCAGCAGCTGGGGTCGAGGTTTGTTTCATCTTTGTAACATTATTCTGTGTGTTCTAAGCTTGTCTGGAGTCAGAACACGGGTCATTGATCAAAGAAGCACCGCTAGATGCAATAGGAAGTACTGGCTATTCATTTAATGCAGTCGGTTTAGGTGCGCAAAAGTTTAAGTTCCATCTCTTCTCAAACATGACGCTATCATCCAGAACTCTGCTTAATGCAAGAACAATTAATGATTAAGCCTTCTTAAAGTTCCTTACCCAGCACTATTGAGCTCAATGATATATTTGTTCTGGGAATAACAAATATAATGTGTGCCAAAGCAAACAGCAATGAATTTGTTTTGTCTGATCTTTATCTTTTCGGTTGGAATGCTCATTCGAGGATTTTTATGTTTTCCTTCCATCCTTTGCAGTAAGCTGCAGCAGGGCACTTGCATTGTCCTGCTTGCACCATATAGGAAGGCGTAGCAGGGTGAAGTGAACAAGATGACTGTAACAGCAACCTACACATGTATGGCACATGCAAACACATATACGTGGATGCCTAACACTGGTGTCTTCATCTTGAATTGATTCCTTCCATAATTAACAGCCATCTTTAACCACAGTGATTGTAACTACATCATACATATCACAGGCAATTCTGCATCTGTTTGTTTTTCATCTGGTGAATAATTCATCTTCAGATGTCATAAACATGCATCTGCATTAAACTTTCTGCTTGGCATGATTACTGAACATCATTTTGCAAAGGATTTGTTTTAACTTTCTAAGAATTTGTTCCTGTCTTGCTCCCAAATCAACCTATTGCACTGCAGAGCTCTTTTCCACATATCAGAAAGCACTGTGAAGACAGCCTGCTCTGTCCTGTTGAATGTCTCAGGTTAAATTCCCTCTTCAATACCAAATAAAACATCCTCACTCTGGTTCTTAATGCCAGATTTTCTACTGGAGTTGCCTTTAGCAGTATTTCTCAAACTAAGGGTGCACAGCACCTTGCTCTGGAAGATAGGAATGGGGAACAGAATAAGCCCTCCATAATCCATGACCTGCTTCAAAAGCTGGACATTCACAAGTCCATGGGGCCAGGTGGATTGCACCCTAGAGTGCTGAGGGACTTGGTAGATGTGGTTGGCAGGTCACTCTCCATTATTCTTCAGCAGTCCTGGCTAACTGGGGATGTCCGGGTGGACTGGAGACTGGCAAACGTGACACCCATCTTCAAAAAGGGCCAGAAAGATGATCCTGGTAGCTGCAGACCCATCAGTCTCACATCAGTGCCAGGGAAGGTTATGGAACAGATAATCTTGAGAGCCATCATGAATCAATTAAAGGTGAACCAGGGGATCAGGCCCAGTCAGCATGGGTTCATGAATGGTGGATCCTGCTTGACAAACCTGATTTCATTCTATGACAAGGTGACCTGCTTATTGGATGAAGGTAAGGCTGTTGATGTGGTCTGCCTGGACTTCATTAAAGCCTTTGACACTGCTCCCCACAGCATTCTCATGGAGAAGCTGGCTGCCCACTTTTTGGATGGACGTATGCTCCGCTGGGTGAAACTGGCTGCATGGCCGGGCCCAAAGAGTTGTGGTCAATGGAGTTAAAGCCAGTTAGCAGCCAGTCACAAGCAGGGTCCCCCAGAGCTTGGTACTGGGGCCGCTTCTATTTAACATCTTTGTTAATGATCTTGATGAGGCCATTGAGTACACCCTCAGTAAAACATCAAGTTGGAATGGAGTGTTGATCTGCTGGAGGGGAGAAAGGCACTACAGAGGGACCTGGATGGACTGGATCAATGGGACAAGGTTATCTGTATGAGTTTCAATAGGGCCAAGTGTTGGGTCACAACAACCTCAGCCAACCCAACAGGCTTGGGGAGGAGTGGCTCGAAAGGTGCCTGATGGAAAGGGACCTTGGTGTACTGATGGACAGTCGGCTGAATAAGAGCCAGCAGTGTGCCCAAGGCCAATAGCGTCCTGGCTTGTATCAGGAATGCTGTGGTGAGCTGCACTAGGGAAGTCATCCTGCCCCTGTACTCGGCATTGGTAAGGCTTCACCTCAAGTACTGTGTTCAGTTTTGGGCACCTCCGTACAGAAGGGACATGGAGATGCTGGAGGAGGAACAAGGAAGGGCAACAAGGCTTGTGAAGGGCTTGAAGAATATGCCCTATGAGGAGAGACTGAAAAAAACTGGGGCTGTTTAGTCTGGAGGAGGCTGAGGGGAGACCTTGCTGCTCTCTTTCAATACCTGAAAGGTGCTTACAGTGAGAGTGGGGTTGGTCTCTTCTCACTGGTGACAGGTGACAGGACGAGGGGAAATGGCCTCAAGTTGTGCCAGGGGAAGTTTAGGTTGGATATCAGGAAAAACTTCTTTACAGAAAGTAAAGTGCTCAGTTGTGAAGCACTGGAATAGGATTCCCAGGGAGGTGGTTGAGTCACCATCCCTGGATGTGTTTAAAAACCATTTGGATGTGGTGCTCGGGGACATGATTTAGCAGAGGGTTATTAGAATCAGGGTAGTACGGTTATGTTGTGGTTGGACTTGATGATCCTTAAGATCTTTCCAACCTGAGCATTTCTATGATTCTAGGAGATTTTGCCAGTGAATTTTTCTCCCTTAGGGCCATGTCTGGAATGTAGGGGCCAGAGCATGCACTGTCTTCTTTGTTAAGCACCACCCAAGTTTGTGTGCTCTGGAAATGTCTAAAGGTCCTCATTTCTTTTTCTTCCTTATTCTTTTCTTTCTTTTACTTTTTTTTTTTTCCCAGTTTGAAGAGGTGTTTTTGGAAACACAAGAGCAGTATGAGAAACTCCTGCAAAGTGAGTACATATGAGACCTCAAGATAAGTGTGAGCAGGTTCCGCTCGGTCCCAGAGAAGATTGAAGACTGTGTATACTGACTTCCATATGGAAAAGAGGGAATTAGAACAGAGCTTTGAGCAGCTGCAGAGACTGAATGTTTTCCACATGTGGGCAGGCACAACTGAAAACTGAATGTCCTTCCAGCTTGCAGTTTTGCAGTCCTCTTGGCTCTTTTGTTTGTGTGCTGCTGCCAAAACTTTGTTGGCAAAAATTCACCTTAGGTGAATGCGCAGCTTCTGGCTGGCCTCACTTTTTTTTTTTTTTTTTTTCCCCAAGTCTTCAGCATTACAGCAGTTGATTGTCAGTTGGCCATAAAATATAGTAGGCCCTGAGTGTTTGTAAATCTTGCTTTGAAACAGCTTTGCCAGGATTCTTGGATTCTCATTCCCAAGGAAAGCAGCATTGTGGAATTAATCCCATGGGAATGTTATCCAACAGCCTTATTCCAGGCTTCAGCAACTTGCACATGCTTATCCTAAAAGTTCATGGAATGCCCTGCTTTAGCATAAGATACAGGTTATAAGGAAGAAATTTTATAATCTAACATTTGCTTCATCTGTGTTTTAATAGTAGGAAATAAATACATTTTTATGTATTTAGAATTAGTTTACGTCAACTAAGCTTCTTACTTAATGTGTTTAGTGTCATGATTGTCCAAATTATATTTCAGTTTCATCATAAGAGCTGTTGTACACAGCCTTACCTGCACTTTCTCTGAACTTTGGTTTTTGAAGGTTAATAACCCACAGTTATTCCATTCTTCACTTTAATTAGTCTTAATTTACTGTTTGCATGGAAATATGCCAGTTTAATAAAAAAGACTCCCTAGAGCAAGCTCAGGAAGAAATCAGATGTAGATGTACCAATACAGTAATATGTGGCTTTCTCTTTCTTTAGGTGGAGTCCTCATGTTCCAGCAAGTGCCCATGGTGGAGATCGATGGGATGAAGTTGGTGCAGACCAGAGCCATCCTCAACTACATAGCAGGGAAATACAATCTCTACGGGAAGGACCTGAAGGAGAGAGCCCTGTACTGTACCAGTACTACCCTTCTTGAAGATATTATAGTAGTTTAGATACATGAAGAATAAACTGCATATTTGCATACTCAGAGAACCACCTTTGCTTTGGTGATGCGTAATTTGCAGTAAGACTGACAGACCACAGTTAAATGCAACCCAACTGGTTTGTTCTGATCAGTTTATCTCGATGTAAAAAATGGTTGATATGTAGGCCCATTGTCTAGTAAAATATTAATATAACTTGACAGAGGTATTCAAGAGGTGACTAAATACTGAACTATTTCTGCATGTGGAAATTCAACTTTAACTGTGCAAATCTGTGCTTGTGAAGGCACCAGCCTATTTAAGTTTTGTTGTTTGTTTTTAAGGATTGACATGTATGTTGGGGGAACAGATGACCTTATGGGCTTCTTGTTGAGTTTCCCGTTCTTAACAGCTGAGGATAAAGTGAAACAATGTGCCTTTGTAGTTCAAAAGGCTACAAGCAGGTACTTCCCAGCATATGAAAAGGTACGTAGGAGAATAGTTTCCTCCTATGTTTCATTTTTATTTATATTTTTAACCACAGTAACAAACAGTTATTACTACAGCTTCAAAAATGCTTTTAAGTTTC